TCCGAGAATGCTCAACAGTTTGGTACGTTTAAGTAAATAATATAATGCAAAATAATAGTTGTCATGACTAAATACCAAGCAATGTGTCAGATACATCGGGGGTCTGATGAAGATCAGGGCAGTCGGTGGCGTTGGGTAAAAATAGTGTATGGTGCGAGTGGAAGTTGGCCTGGTCAGTGCCCGCTGGTTGCAAATTTATGTTCGTATGCAAACGTGGTAGCAGATTTGCCCTACGGGTAAAGTGTGTGTATCTGGTAAAGATAAAAGTGGAATGCACATTCAGTAGTAGGTAAATCAGTAAGGTTGTATTTGACAGATTTGCAGTATGTGGTGATCAGTATACAATGGTAGCATGATTTATTGATATAAGCAAAAACAGTTATCAACAGTTAGGTTTATAAGAACTTTTGTTTGGTTTGTTGTAGAAACCACGTCGTATTGTAACGAGTTCAACGATTCAAGTAAAGGAGTTCGTTGATTCAGGCAAGATGTGCGTAGTAAAATAAAAGAGTATTGTTGCTATACAAAAAAGTTGACTTCGTCGCTACAGGAGCATTATTAATTATCATTGTATTGCAACTCGTATTATTACGCGCTTTGCAAATGCGTCACGAATTTGTTTGCTCGTTGCAGACCTACAGGTGTTTTACGAGTGCACCCCGTTCGAGGAGGAAGTCGCCGACCTGTTGGTATCACGGTATACGCTATACCCGTTCCACCTGCCGATCGGAGCGCCATGGATCGCGTTCATCAAACGCATGTGCGAGACGAACGCAGCATCAGCGCATATGGGTTGCTCGCTCAATAGCCCCCTTTTTGAAGCATTCTAATTATTCGCTTCCCCAGTATGTCACGTTAATGTGCCACCAAGTACAAGTCGACACTCATACCGCACCCACCGTCTGCATCTAACTGTGCGTCCCTCGGGGTTGGCATCGTGCCGCTGCCACCGCCGGGTGGCGTACACGAGGTTGATGGATGGTGGGAGGCGGAGGCGGTAGCTGACCACACTCAAATTCTTGAGCCGTTACTGGACTCACCCCTGGCGAGCCACCTTATGCCGGCCGGACTATTTGTTTGGTACTTCTGGGTCAGCCGGGTGCCACCGCCTAAGCACTTCCGCTTCGAGGCGTTCGCAGTCCCCATCGCACGGGGCACCGGAGGGACACCGGCTACGATTCACCGGAGGAGCCGGTCAACGATATCGCCCACCATGATCTGGCCGCAAACGCCGACGCTGATCTGGCCGCCGAGTGGCTGTGATGGTGGCCGATGCCTGCACACCATCCGCGTCCACTCCAGGGTTAGCGACCCGAGCACACCTCCACGATTGGAGTGTGCGACGGGTACGCGCTAGACTCCCCTGCGTGACGCGCCCTGAGCGGCGAGATACGTAGCCAACCGACGAGCCAGCCTCCACCGAGCGAAGCGACGCGTCCCGGGATACGGCGCCGCCAGCCGGGTGATACAGAGACGGAATCTACTGCGATCGTCCGTGTAACCGCGATGCGCGAGTAGTATAGTAGTATAGTAGTGGTGGTGGTTTGCGTTGTATATAGTTTAAGCAATTGATTATCCTGGTGGTGGAACGGTCAGTAAGTAAATGTAAGCGCGAAACCCTATGTGTAACGGCATAGGCGATTTTTTTTGTTGGTATTGTTGTAATGTGTATTGAACGTGTACAGGTTACGTGCCACATCCGTACCCCATACGCGTACAGTTTTATGGATGATATTCCAACGTGCCAGTATCACGCTCTCGCACTCGACCAAAATTTTGTTTATATGATCGGGGCGATCACAAGGTTCTTTTGTGGGGGGAGTAGTGTAGCGACGCTGCGCTCCAGCTCATTAATTAGGCACATTGCCGAGTGAGCGGAGAGCGTACGACAGCTGCTGCCAACAGCGCGACAGTCGGTGGCATGGCCACAGGTATAGGTGTCGAACGGTGACCAGAGTTAATGGTCACTTAAGAGAGCAGAGAGCGGGGTACGTGACTAACAGTAGACGACGGAGGTTTACTGATACCACACAACACTTGATATATACATGTGTCAACTAAACGAGACGCAGACCCACAGCTGTACATTTAGGCATTTCATTATCTGACATAGTGGTTGTGTAGAGTAATATCAGATCACATAATTCCAATTAGTCGTGCGCTGGCGTGACGCACATCACTGACGCTGTTGATATCTACTGTGACGTAATGTTATGACGTCTCGGACAGGATTTTCTATCACAACTTGGATGCCCTTTAGAGTAGATGTTGTCTTTTAGCCCGTTTCTGAGATACATTGACAGATCTTTATGATACATTGATAATAAAAGGGATGTCAGATGATAAAAAGAATATAAGCTTTGTTCCGTTTCATGTACGATTTTTGTTACTTGACGAATAATTTTGATTTTACCGCTCGCCTAAGGCTTGCAGTAAATCAAACTTATTTTTGTCGTAACATAAATTTAATATGAAACGGAACTAGCTAATATCCTCTATTTCATATGTTTTAGGATGGATTCAAAGGAAGATACATCAACGCGTAGTTTACGTAAACGAAAAGCCGTACAATTCGAACTTAGGATCTCTTCAAAACGACAGAGGCCATTGAAAGGTGCTGAGACATAGAAATTGGAGAAAGCGGCTAAAAGACAATCCTGAGCTGTACAAACTCACCACGAGTATGAAACGGCGCGTGTCAAGGCCATAAGGAAGGAACTTAAAGAAGAACAGGGATCAAAGAACAATGCTAAGGTCAAAGAAAGAATGAAAAAGTACAGAACAAAACAGAAAGCGGAAGGAGTTGCAATCAAGACAATACACAAGGTAGTGACAAGAACAGAAGGGGAAATTTTACGAAAAAAGTACTCGTATTTCTGACCGTCGTACATGACAAGTCAGAAAAGAAGAACGACAAACGAACAAAGACGTATGCGCTATAAAAAGAAGAAAGATCAGCTCAAGCCCATGAATGTAGCGCAGACTGGTGAACATCCTAATGTAACATGCGTCAGCAAAACCAGTGTATTTCCTACAGAAATGGCGAAACGCAAAGCTCTTTCCAGATCCAAGAAGACTCTACCAAACAGCCCCAAACAGTTCTCCAGTGTTGTAGCTTCATTAATCGCTTCTGCAACACCAAGAAAAAAAAGCGGAACTTCGCAAGAAGATGGTATGCAGCCCAAAAGTGAAGAAAACGCTAGACATCCCCGAGTCTATGAGTAGTAACTTAAGACATAACTAGAAGAACATGAGCAACTCTGATGGCGATGACTTTGACAGCTCAGATGATCTGCAGCTAGCTCTGCAACTGTCCGTGGATGACATCCAGGCCACAGACGACCGGTAGGAGAATTTCATTGAAATACTGTATATTCTTCCTGTCAATTTTTGTTCTTAAAATTCTATCATACCCTTTCGTAACATGATGAACGTTGAGGCAGTAATTATCGTATTTGACTGGTGTTTACAGGTCTTTGGCAGATATCCTGTGTAGGCAGCGCACAGACGTCATTTGTATTAAAAAAATTCAAATGTCAATGGCATCCGTGGCAGAGAGTGGGATACACTCAGATCGTTACCACGCAGACAATTTGACACGACAGCTAAGTTAAACTTTATGCCATCTTCCTTTTTTATGGTATGTAATGTTAAATATAGAATACAAACGTCCCATTTGATGCATTGTTTTTTGGATTGCATTTATGGTGGTATGGACTTAGATTGAAATTTATAAATTTCTTAGATTGTGCTTCATGCTATGTTTTTCTAAGCCGTGTTTTCCATCAAGGGGTGGTAGGCCTACTGGTGCCATTTATTTAAGATCTTGCAAGCCACAATGAATTAGACCCCTGCTCCTTGGATGGAATTGCATGGGGCGGAACCAGATTCACAATATCTAGCTCTATTGCCCAACCCCTGCCCCATCCCCATTATTTGGGGGGAGGGGAGGAAACATAATACTTGTTTTCAGTCCTAATCTCTCCTTTTTGTGGTTTCAGAATGAAGAATATCTCATAAAGTGGGCTAATTATCCCAGCAACTCCTAAATTATTGAAAGCTAAATATGCTTATTAACCTGCTAAAGGACAGATTATCTAGCTATTGTCCACTGCTCCACTGCAGATGGTCATTAAAAAATTATATTATATGTGACCCGTCACATCGAATCGGGTCTTAAGTCGCATTGTTTACTTTTGAGCTAGACATGCTAGAACAGTGCATTGTTCAATTTTTGGTCGAGTACGGGATTTTCACGAGGAGGCTGACAAGGCAAGAGACGAGGAGGACCAGAAAGTGGATGACGACAATGTCTGGAAGGAGCAGGAAGACGATGATTTCGTCCACGTGGACACGACACTTAGCACAAACTCGAGGCAGAGGATTTCGTGCTTTGCTCACACTCTGCAACTGGTTGTGGGAGACGGCCTGAAAGAAATGAAGTGTGTTGACAGACCATTTGCAAAAGTCACGAGGATCTCCACGCTCTTGCACAAGAGCACATTGTTCAAGGAAAGGTAGGTGAGTTAAGGCTGTTTAGTTTATTCAGAATACTTGTTTTTTGCATGTACATGTGTTTGACTTGAAAGTGTGTAATTAATTTGCAATTTCGAAGGCAATTGAAGAATAATTAATAATGGTCAGTTTTCGTTCCATTTAACTCTCATTAATAATGGCAGCAAGAAGTTGATAAACAACAAAACATGCCAGTATTGTATAAAGCGATATCAAGTATTCAAGGGACTATATTGTACATTGTTTTCAACAACCTTACATTGATGGTCAATACCAGTCTTGAATGATGCACTGGTATCAAACTAAGCCATGGTGAAAGTAATTCAATGATTGTGTCCTGTAGAATAATATGTGCTCTATTAAGATTGATACAACCTCACAACAGTATGATTTGCATAGCAAAACGTCTCTGCACATTTTTGTTGAAATGTGCATTGTTATTTTATCTATTTTAGATCATAAATCAAAACTCATTGATTTTAAAGCTTATTTGAGAAAAACATATTTATAGGTAGGTTAACATATTCTTTACTTAGGTGTCTTACTTTTAGGTTTGAAGACAAGTTTGGAGCTGTCCGGACCATACCTGCAGCAGTGGCTACTCGGTGGAACTCCACCTACCATCAAGTCAAGTCCCTGCTGCAGATCGAAGGCATGGATTGCAATGCATTGGCCGAGGTGTGTGATAGTCAAGAGTTCTCACACGCTCTAGTAACTCGACATGAGTGGGGGCAACTAGCTGAGCTTTGCAAAATTCTAGAGCCTTTTGCTGAAGCCACCAACCTAACTCAAGGTAAGATTCATATTTATTCACAAGTTACAACCTTGACCAAAATGCTCAAACCTAAAAAATCAATGGTCAATTCCATGGCAACATCAAATCATGGTGGAGCACTTTCGCTCTTGCTAGTTACAATCAAATATAAGCTGCAATTAATTGCAAGTGGAGTCTCATGTAATTTATTGAATAATCCAAACTAATTCAGAGGTTAGTTATTGTTACAAATCTCTAGAAATAGGTATTTTTTCATTTTACCAATGTTAAAATGCTACCAAAGGACCGTACAAACTCGCATCCTCTAATTAATCTTGTACACGAACTTTGTGAATGTTGATGGTCACTATTAATATTATTTTTGGTTACAGGCGATGAAAGTGTCACAGTAATGTTACTGGATATCAACAGCCACTTATGGAAGTGGGAAGACGACGCGAGATTCTGCAAGCCACTGGTATCAGCGCTTCATACCTCTTTGGAGAGACGCTTCAGAGGAATCTTTGTGAACTGCGAAATAGACGAGAACCAAGGCAGTGGGAGCCATCAAGAGCCTTTCGCTGAGAAACTCTACCTTGTGGCTGCTGTGCTGGATCCACAATACATGCTGCACTGGGTAGATGCGGATGTGGTTGTTGCTTGGGAGACAGATCGTGTGAGAAAAAATTTGAAGCACACACTTACAGGTATGTTGAATCAGTAACCAAAGGTTAAAGCTATAGCTTGCATTTTAATATTTCTATTGTATTTAGATTGTATTCTGTATTCTTGTTGGAATACGGACCAAAATTCACTAAACATGGTGAAGGAGCTTCCAAATCTATTATAATTATTGCAGGAGCTTTTCATTGTGAACACATAGGTCACGTGTAAAATAATTTGTGTGTCGTTTGTAATATATGTTTGTCTTCCCTATTCCCCTGTACAGAGTTGGTAATAACTGAAGCGGAGCGCTTCTCTTCCAACGAAGATCAAGATGAGGCAGCAGCAGCCATGCACACCACCAGCAGTAAAGATGAGGATATTCCGGCAAAGGTACCTTGCTTGATGGCCAAATACAGGGCCATAAGGCGTCATTCCAAAGGTGGAGAGTGTGAGACCTCAAGAATGCAGATATCCAATTACTTCAGGGATGAGCAACATCATGGGCTGGATGCGGTATTATTTTGGAGATGATGGTGCAGCGCAGCACAAATACCCTTCCCTGCATGCGTTGGCAAGGAACATCCTGTCTGTTCCATCAACCAGTGCTCCTGTAGAGCGCATTTTCAGCAGAGGAGGGATCATAATGAGGCCTCATAGGGCACGACTAACTCGTTAGAAGCCTTGATGCTCCTTAAATGTAACGAGCATGTACTTTAAGGAGTAATTTACTCAAGGAGAGATCTGTTCAGACAGTTGTTGTTGAGAGTTGTTATGCACTATGCATTATAATCATTTATAAATAGTACAAAAATACATGACTGTATGCATTGCTTCATTCAATGCAATGCAATGCAATGCAATGCAAATCAAATCAAATCAAATGCAATGCATTGTATGCATTGCTGTAGTAATTGCTTCATTCGCATTGTTCGCTTGTTAATTAAACTTTGTTCATGAAACTTCGCTTGTTTATGATTACTGATGACAACAATCGCAAGGCAGCTAATACAGTGTATACGCGCATTACATACATTGTATAAATCGACCAAATGATGACTTACGTGTAAGTCATCATTTTCCTAAGTCGACACAAATAGGCTGGTCCCAAAAGTGTCGACTTATGCAAGTTTTACTGTACTTTCTATTTCATGCAAACAAGTGACAGATCCAGGGAGCAGGAGACACCCCCCCGTTTTTAAACAAACATACATAAAAGTGAGTGGCCTTGTCAGTCTGTGACCCCCTTTTTTATCAAAACTGGACTCGGACTCAGACTCGGACTCGGGTGGCGTGGACTCGGACTCGGGGGGTGCACACTCGACTACAACACTATGCTATAGGGTGTAGTAATGTGTCTGGGACAGGAAAAGAAGCAAAGAGCTTTTATAGATTGCCAACAGAAAAGAAAATTAGGGATATCTGGCTTGCAAAAATCAGCAGAAAGGGCTGGGTGCACACGAAACACACGAGGCTGTGGGAATCATTTCGCACCAGTGTTTTTGTTTGTGCCACACAATATAGCAGCTTGTGTTGGATCATATGGTTGGATGGCAAGGTTCCCGGGCACACAATATATTGACAAACATCGTGACTGCCAATATACTGAAGAGGGACATCCCTAAGCTTGCTCCAGAGGAGCAGACGTCGAGCCTTGAATCGTATCACAACGTTGTAATACGCTTTGCACCGAAGTCAGTTCACTTCCACTATTCAGCTATGAAGGCTAGGTAAACAGCCAATTACTTTGCCTTTATAACGAAATGTCCTATTAAAATAAGCTCTTCAACATTAGGTTGAGGCCGAGTTAAAAGTTATTGGACAATAACATGTCATATATACTTGGAGGGTGTGTGACTTACAAATGCCACAATATTGACCTTGTGTGTACCTACTTGCAGATTAACACTTGCTATCCTTCATTTTAATGAAAACTCTGCGAGAGAACAACAGACAAACAGCGATGGAAGCAAGCAGTTCAGGATTTCTTACCCAAAATCCAAGAAAGGAGGTGCTATTGCGAAGGAGGTCAAAGTACCATGTACTTACAGTATGTTTCACACAATGAATATAACACAACTTTTATTATCTTTTTGGCATGTTTAATGAAAAATTGCCCATTTTACTTGCACAAATAATTCTCTAGTTATATGGTAACTTCAGAAATAGTCCACAACAATTATTTAGTCATGAAGGTGATCAGTATAATATATAAACAGTTCTACATATTGTACATATCGTATATATTGCACATTTCTTATGTAATATTAATGTGCAAGCCTACAATAATTATTTGATTGCAGACTATGTCAGAGAACTAATGGCTATGGTTATACTGCTCAGACGCCAGTACCCCAGCTATCAACGAGCCAAGACCCTTATAGACCACACCAGCAGCTGTTACCTCAACCTACACACGGCTGGATAAGCAAACCGTCATAGACCGGCATCAATGTCGCTTTAATAAATGACTGTGCTAGCTGCTACTTGTTGCTACAATTACATGTACACCTTAGCTATCTGTTACATGTTGCTAAACAAATGACAAGATTTTGAAAATTGCTAATTTGATGACGTGACATAATTATGGGTTCCTGCTAATTTTCTGAACAGGGGTGATTTTATGTGATTAGGAGGTAACCATAATTAGAAAGGTAAAAATGCTGTTTTAGAAGGACTTATTCGCCATAATTCCTAATTAGGCTAGTTCCTGTGTCAGTAAATTGGCATTATCCGGCTGTTGTAATAAATTGCAACTGCAATCTAAGCCCTGGTCTTAGCTAAATAGCTGTGACATGACATGTTGCTGTCTGAATCTGATATATATATATACCTCATCAGAATTATATACCTTATTTAAAAGACATTCCTATTTAATTTCCAAGTGTATAGTTCATGTGTGAAAACAGATTAATCTAATGTTTCCCGAACGTGTTAATTATAATTTGTTTATTAAACTAGATACTTAAAAAGATATTGGACTGGATATTTGATTAGGAAAACAGAGTAAACTTAATCCAAATCCTTAATCCATGTTTTCATTATTTGTTTAATAAACTGGATATTTGAAACCACACTAATCTAGATGTGAACTTTTTTATGATTCGAGTGAATGCATAGGCTGGCAAAATGCAGGCTGGAATAGTTCTTTGGTCACTCACATTAGATCTTTGGTCACACACACCTTCCATTTCCAACAACCAGATCCTCCTGCAGAAAATACATCTGCTACCGCTAACCCTGGTCCCATATAAAGTCCATCGCATGATGATTCTACTAATAATTCTAGGCCTACCGCTCTCGAGAAGCCATCCCCTGGTCCCTTGAATTCTAGCGGACCAACCAGCTCCTCAGATGCTGACAATCAGTCAACTACTCCTAGTCCTCAGACGCCTACTGATGCTGGTAAAACTGGACCCAAGCTAGGCCTAGTCCTGAGCCTGTTAGGCCTACTGTATTGCAATTAGTCCATGTGTACGATGATCAATTGGTTGGCAAGCATTGTGTCGTCCAGTACGATAAGAACGGTTTTCCAGGCATCATTGAGGATGCAGATGAGGAGTCTGTACGTGTAGATGCCATGTCTAGGGTACCAAGAAGCATGTGGGGGATGATACGGCGAGAGAGCAGAGCGACCAAGCGTGAGTGAGCGAAGCGAGTGAGGGGGCAGGGGCGTGTAGAGGATTTGGACCAGGGTGAGGGGTCTAACCGTAACCCATACTTGCGAGTACGCGAAGAGGGGGTCTGGGGCACTGTCCGTAACCCTAACCCTTACCCTAACCCTCCCCCAGAAAAAGTTTGAAATTAGACCCCCTTAGATGCGTTTTCTGCGCGAGCATAGTGTAGAGGGTATTTTAACTCATATTGCAGCAAGCATTTATGTGTTAAATTTGATCAGTGGCGCGACCAGCCTTTCGGTATGGGGCGAGGGGGGGGGAGGCAAGACCATCAAATGTACCGAGAAATTACATTACACTGAAATGTTTTAAACCTTATATATTTCTGACATGATCATGTGGTATTACAGAAGCACATTCACATATCAAATAACTATTGCAGGCTAGAGAAAAATATGGTAATTTCAAAATACAAATCTTGTGATAACTCGAATATATTTCAAACTTGAAAGAATGTTTGTATTCGTATGAGTATGTCATTACAGAAGCAAAATAAAATTAGTACTTTCTTCCCTAATGAAACATCCGGTTACATACATGTATGACATATAACAGTTGCAGGCCAGAAATATATCTCTAACAATGTAAAAATCAAATTCTTGTAATGACTCTGAGATGTTTTCTTTGGCAGGAAATTCAGAAGAATAACTGACAAATTTGAATAGTTATGTTAAACATAAAAATGGGTCATGATCTCATTGCGGCCAATCAACAATTACTTCCTGTATGACGTCTTTTAGCGTATGGCTTGTGTATGATAGTCCAGACTGTAGCGGCCAATCAACAATTACTTCCCGTATGACGTCTTTTAGCGTATGGCTTGTTTATGATAGTCCGGATTGTTCTGGTTTTAGTTCCGGTTTTAGTTTCGGTTTTAATTTTGGTTTGGGTGGGTTTCGGGTGCAAAGCAGTGAACGCAGGGAGTAGGCTTTGTGAGTTACGACGGTCGAGTGGTGTTTATACGGTTCAGTGTGTAACGGAGGAATACCAGAGTCAACGATACGGTAATTACTAATACAAGGTCTAACTTTTGTACGTCATGCAGCGCACAGATATATGCGCTCGCGATTAGATTCACCTCACTGTATATTTAGTCTAGTTACGCTATGTATTGTACGATGCAGTAATGTAATATAATGTATATGCATATGGGATCACTAATGACTCGCGTAATAGAAATAGTAGATGTATTATACCACGGACGAGTATCAACAGACATGATGTTTAAGAGGGAAATAGTCACAGGAGTTTATTTTGTTCATTTTCTTTTGTATTGTAGTCAATCTTTCGTCGATGGTAGAATAAATGATGAACGAATGAATTGGTGTTCAAGACTAGGACTGCTGTTGGTATACGCGTTACATTATTGACGTATCGACGTAGTGACGAGCAGTGGGGATATACGCCATGTCGACCGACAAAGAAGGTGTACAGGATGACCCTGAGGCCAGTGGAGCTGATCATGATGGACAGTCAGTCCAAGGCTCCCGCCGAAGACAGCTCACAGGGAGATGGGTGGAAAGTTGTCTTTCCGATAGGGGGCAAGAGGGCGACCCAACGCAACAGAGTGAGGCCCATAGACACAGCGCACGTGGATCGAAGGATCAGATTGACGAGGCCAGTGAGTCAGTGGGAGGCGCTTCGTCTGCAAGTGGTGCAGCGTACAGCGACATATCATCCAAGCGCTTGAAGGAAGAGCAGAGAAGGGTTGAGTTGGAGGCAAGGAGGTCGGCATTGAGGAGGATGCGGGAACTCGAGCTGGCAAAGCTTTCCTTAAAGCTAGATGAAGAGGAACTTCAACTCGATACGGACATCGCTGTATCCGATGCTAAGGCCAAGGTGTTGAACAGGTTCGAGCAGGCAGAGCACATCCGGTGGGAGGAAGATTATTTGCCCAAGAACAAGAATGAGCTGGGAGTCAGGAGCGATTGTTCACCTGTTCTACTGGATCCTAGTGCGGGATCATTCAAGCCTGAAGGCATGTATGTTCCTGCAATGGGAGGCGGGAGTCCTAATTTACCTAGTGCGGACATTCGTAAGAGCATGGACCTTGTCGACCTGACCAAAGATGCCTTACATTCTGTCGTACAGCACCTCAGGAAGCCGGTGCCAGAAATAAAGAAGTTTGGAGGCAATGCACTAGAGTTTAGAAGGTTTCTTCGGCAATTTCAGGCAAAGGTGGGAGCCAATACGGATGACGATGACGAGAAGATGAACTATCTAGAGCAGTTGACACACGGTGAGGCTCATAAGGTGGTTTCAGGATTTGGTCACCTGACTGGAGAAAAGGCATACAAAGCAGCGATGGAGCAGCTAGAGGAGCGCTATGGTGATAACGAGGTTATCGCTACAGCCTTCATCAAGAAGGCACTCGATTGGCCCATGGTGCGAGCTGGAGATGCGCAGGCGCTCGACGAATTCTCCTTGTTCCTGGTAGAATGTGGGAATGCTGTGGAGAGTATTGGGGCAGGAAGTGTCCTGGAGTACTCGGAGAATGTCAAGAGACTGATGGGAAAGCTTCCATTTCACCTACACGACAGATGGAGGAACATAGTTCTGAGAGCAAAGGAAGCTCATAGAACTGTGAAATTTGCTGACTTCGTTCGTCTCGTGAAAGCAGAAGCGAAGAAAGTCAATGACCCCACATATGGCAATGCAGCAGTAGGGATGCACAGGAGTAAGGATCAGTCGTTAAAGGGTGGCACCGCGTTCAGGAGGAATAACTCCGTTCTCAATGCTGTTTGTGAAGTGTCAAGGCCGAAGACAGTCACTGAATCGAAATGTTCATACTGTGAATCTAGATCTCATTCCCTGGAGAACTGCAAGGGCATAGTGACTGTGAGCCTGCAGGAGAGATATGATCACTTGAGAAGCAAAGGACTTTGCTTCGGGTGTCTGAAGAAGGGCCATATGGCAAGGATGTGTAGAGTCAGACGAACATGTGATGTCTGTAGAAGGCAGCATCCCACTATTCTTCACGACGAGTCCAGGAGGCCATCAACTGAGACGGCTAGAGACCGCGGGACCGAGGAAACTGAAAAGAAAGAAGAAACCCCCAGCGTTTGTATGAGCTATCCTCTTGATACTAATGGTCAAGCAGGGGCCGGTGATGTTTCATGTGCTATGGCTATAATCCCAGTAAGAGTAAAGCTGAAGAACAGATCTCACAGCATAGAGACATACGCTTTCTTCGACTCGGGTAGTAGTGTGTCATTTTGCACGGAAAGCGTGATGAGGCAGTTGGGAGGCAGTGGTAAGAAGATTCAGCTTACATTGAGCACCATGGGTGAACCCTTCAAAATGAGCACATATGCGCTGAATGGTCTTCAGGTTAGTGACCTCGTTATGGAGAACGTCATCGACTTACCAAGAGTCTACACGAAGGAACGGATGCCTGTCACAAGGGACCATATACCTACACAGGAAGAAGTATCCAGGTGGTCGCACTTGTGTGAAGTACGCATACCAGAGATAAAGGCGGAAGTTGGACTTATGATTGGAAGTAACGTACCTGATGCCTATACTCCATTCGAGGTTCTCACAGGTGCCACTGGATCACCGCATGCAACAAGGACCAGAGTCGGATGGATCGTCTGGAACGTAATTAGAGACAACCCCACCCCTGAAGTGAACAGGGTACACATCGAGGATAGGATTCGAGATGATACGCAGTTAGAGGAAATGGTGAGAAAATGCAAATGGAACATTTCTTGTGGTCTGTTGGCTTTGCAGTAAGAATAAACAACTACCGGGAAGACAGGGAAGTAATGATTGAGAGAACAAAGAAGTTCTGGTCTCTGGCATCGGGAACGCCTGAGTGGACGGATGTGAGGATAATTTCTCTCATGAAGGAGCTGGGAATCTCAGCACCTGTCTTGGATTCGGATCTAGAGTTCCAGGACATGACCAGCATGACGGAGGCAGATCTCCTCAAGACCATGCTGGAGATGGGAATTCTGAACAATGTTTAAGGTTGGATTTCCTCCCTTCCTTGGAAACATGATTCATGGTTTGCCAAAATGGCATTTTCAGTGTGTATTTAATTCTCTTTTTAGTGTGCATTTGAATCTCTTTGTTCTTGAGATGCAAGTGCAAAACCTTATTTAATCCTCCTTTTCTTGAGGAATGTGCATCATATTGCATTTTTATGGACATGCTAAAGGCATGACTTTCCAAGTTTTTGTGTGAGAGTGTGAGTGGAATGCAGTTGAGTTTGAAAGTGTGAGTAAAAGTGCGAGATAGACCAGCCACAAGACGAGGTATCCTGTCGATAGTGAGTTCAGTGTACGATCCCCTTGGAGCGGCATCTCCCTTCGTGCTGATCGCCAAGTCCATACTTCAGGGATTGTGTAAACGGCAAGTTGGATGGGATGAGGAGATCACAGGTGCCGATCTGAGACATTGGAACGACTGGCTGAGTCAACTTCAAGGCCTGGAAGATGTGACGATCAAACGGTGCTATAAACCACAGAACTTTGGCAATGTTGTGTCTTGTCAACTGCATAGTTTCTCAGATGCTAGTGACATGGGTCTTGGAATGGTATTCTATCTGCGCCTCGTTGATGATAGTGGACAGGTTCAATGTTCCTTTCTCTTGGGAAAGGCCAGAGTCGCCCCCTTGAAGGCTGTAACAGTGCCCAGGATGGAGCTCACCGCAGCAGCGGCGGCCGTGAGACTCTGCAAGGTGATTTCGGAACGGCTAGGTTATTCCATTGATCGGATCTTCTACTGGACAGACAGTACATCGGTACTGCGGTACATAGCCAACAGGAACTTGCGCTTCCATACGTTTGTCGCAAATCGGCTAGCTGTTATTCATGAGGCACACAGGTCCTGTGGTCACTTAGGGAAGAACGCGATCTTGTCTGTTATTCGACAGAAGTACTGGATTCTAGGTGCTCACACTGCTCTGAAAGCTCTAGTCTCTAAGTGCGTGACATGCAGGAAATATAGGGCTCCCTGTGGCACACAGAAGATGGCTGACTTGCCCAGTGAGAGATTGATCCCTGACGAGCCACCGTTTAGCAGAGTCGGACTGGATTTCTTCGGGCCATTTGAACTGAAGCACGGAAGGAGTATGGTCAAGCGGTACGGAGTAATCTTCACGTGCCTGGTCACGCGTGCAGTTCACCTGGAGGTAGCGTTCTCACTCGATACGGATTCGTGCGTTAATGCCATCCGCCGATTCATAGCTCGCCGAGGTAAGCCTGTTTTTATGAGATCGGATAACGGGACTAACCTCGTGGGCGCAGAGAGAGAGATTAGAGAAGAGATCCAGAGGTGGAACTTAGATAGGATGCACGGGGACATGCTCCGGATTGGAGTTCAGTGGGAGTTTAACCCACCATCGGCTTCACATTTCGGCGGTGTGTGGGAGAGGCTCATCAGATCTGTACGGAAAGTGTTGTATTCCGTTATGCATGAGCAGACTGTAAGAATAGACGACGAAGGGCTGCAGACGCTTTTTTGCGAGGTAGAGGCCATCTTGAATGGACGTCCGCTGACAGCAGCATCCGACAGTGTCAACGACCTTAACGTGCTCACTCCAAATCACCTGTTACTCCTACGTCCGGGAGAGTGGTTCCCTCCAGGAACCTTTGTCAAGACAGACAACTACTCCAGGAGAAGGTGGAGACAGATCCAATACTTGGCGGATCTGTTCTGGGAAAGATGGAGGAAGGAGTATCTACCTCTTCTCCAAAGTAGGCAGAAGTGGGCAAAGGAGAGAAGAAGTATGCGGGTTGGTGACCTCGTGATGATTGCGGATAACTCACGCTTGGAACATCGGAAGAATCCAAGATGTCATGAAAGTCAAGAACGGCATTGTGAGGGTGGTAAAGGTCAGGACCGGCTCGACACTATTTACGCGTCCTGTGGCAAAACTTTGTCTCATTCTGGAATCAGACTTTAATGATTAGTGTGCGAGCTGTGTAGGGATGGACAGTTTCGATTGTTACATGCTGTGCATGCTACTGCCGCTATCTCTTTTGACCATGGCATCGCGCCCATACATTCCATCATTGCTCTTGGCGGCATGTTTCTTAACGAACTTCCATAGGTCGTTCAACTCTACGGTCATCCCCTTTTGCCTATTGCTGTAGACGACGTTCCTGCACCTGTCGTCAACGTACAACGGTAGCTTTCCCACGAATTGCATGAGCTTGTCGGGATACTGCAGGACCATGATGATCCATCAAATGACATGAAATACTACGAATATCATTGCATAATCGCATAATACAAACATGAAGATAATAATGGAAATAGTAGTGTAGATGAACATATTTCATAACTGTTCAGGGCCACAAGAAATCATATTTATAACTTACAACCCAAATACATCTTTTAGAAACACATTTTGTCTAGTCCATATATATATATATATATATATGCATATGTCCAATGATCTTAGCTTCCCATCCATGTGGATGTATACTAAACAATCCTTTTCATTGCATGTGATTTGTTTTAGCTGGAATGCTGGAATCTTCGCAAATGCTGCGTTGGCATAAAATAACAACCATTAAGTAGCTTTGTAAGCTCGTGCAGGGCGTCGCATTACGTTCACGCGTGTCCTCACACTCATCCTCTCCTCCAGGGCGTCGCAGTACGTTCACGCGAGTCATTACAAATTCAAATTCAAATTGAAATTGAAATAAAGTTTATTGCACAGATAATCGTACATCATACAGGCAAATATGGTACAAACTACGATAAAACAAATTCCTAGGCTCATAAAAACATCATAATACATGATAATAAATGTTTCGGTTATTTAACATAAATGAACGTTCTATCCAAAAAACAACAAGACTTGAAACTACTGTAATAAAATACAAACTGCTAAACTACGTTCACGAACAACTTTCATCTCACTATCGCGGTAAGTATCGCGTGCCGTGGATAGTAACGTATGGTATCGGAAACTGCACGCACCCTCAGTTCATATGTAGGACTAGTAAAGTCTGGGTGTTCGTCTAAACCTATCTGTATTTAGCTTGCGATATGTGCTGTGATTTACTTCATTATTTGTATATATGACCATTTCTCTTTTGGGTGGATCTTGTCGTAGCTTCAATGAATGTTCGATAAACACTTTGACAGTTGGAGGACGTCGGCCACATGATTTGTGATGAATAACCATTTTATGCATGATTTCCCTACAAATGTTAAGTGTCGAAATTTGTCTTCAATCTTTTTTCTGATGTCGTTCGTCGCAGTGGATGTGGTGTCGCTCCTCCATACACTGTCCATCGTACAGCACTTCTCTGGGCGACAATACCGTTCCACTCAGATTCTTGACCTGCAAGGAAATCGCCATACTTCACACGAATCACAATATCTATTCGTGCACCTCTTCTTTTCACTGTGCCACGCTTCATCTTGAATAGTCGCTCCATTTCGTCTACCTCGACTTCTCTTACATCGTTCATGTGTCCTATTTCGAAACGTTAAATGCCGTGAGTCATGCTGTCTTGACCTCGCAGCGTTAGCTTATACACGCTTCATTGAAACTGGGGCGCCTCCGCCGGGCGGGCCGGCCGGCCATTATGGACTATTTGGATGTCAACTGTGTGAGGGTTGATTTTACCCCACTGTCCATCGTCCTCTCATGACAGCCTACGATAAGCAGCTTCGTAAACGCATGCTTCGTATTGAAGAGGATGCGATATTTGTGGGAATGAGGAGCACTCATCTTTTGCACACGTTCCTTACATCTCAAGAGTCCTCGATCCTCAAAGAGGCCAAGTTAACTTAATTGCGTCGACCATATCGTGCGAATAATCCGAGAAGAAGGAATCCGTTGGTGGTGCCCTAGCCGGCGGAGAAGGATTCTTATGTGCTCGCACCTCGGGTCTATGCCCGGCTTACGGCCTTATTACAGCATAGTACGGCGTATAATCATGCATGTTGCATTTGTGTCTTACAACGGGTTCGAGGCGCGACCGTACACCGCTAATTGTTCTTCTATTCGAAACCTACGACATTACAGTGCTAGGGGTTGCTACAATAGCTACACCCCATGGGGTTGGAGTTCCACATCCCTGTATAGGTTGCAAAATTGCACCCCACTACAGGGTGCATTTGTGCACCCCATTGGGTTGCAAATTGCACCCCTGTATAGGGTTGCAAGTTACACCCCAGTATAGAGTGCATTTCCCGAGCATATTCGGTCACAATTGCACCCTAAGGGGTGCACGTTTCAACATATATGCATGGGTGCAAATATCAAGCCTTGCTCCCATGACAGCTACAAATAGACACACAAATACTATGTATATTCAGTATTGCAATTTATGTATCACGAAACAATATTGCTGTAAAAGAAAGTATGAAGTCATAAACAATATATGGGAAATGTACACCAAGTTTTACCATGAAAAATGCCACAATTCCTTGCAATCAGCAAGAACGAAACTCGTATCTAAGGACTGCTATGTTAATAAGTAAATCGCTATATACCATGCATATATAATGCATATATATACAGCAGCTATAATAAGCAAGCATATATATCGACTACAAAAAATTACTACATCTTCAGTGCACTCCTTATAACAAAGTGGTTGCGAGCAGTGAAATTACTTTAATATCTTACAATGTTGTTATATCAAGGTTACTGAAAATGTCAATAACTAACTGACGAGCCTACCAACCAGGAAAAAGACTGTTACAACGACAGTTTGTTATACATATATCAGTGTTCTTTATAACGAGTCGACTCTATACATGTATCATCAAAATGAACAGATTCTTGCATCTGCACGAAGTCGACTAATATTTACTTTCATTGTAATAGGTGCATAATGACGATGATCATGTACAATTGCTATACAAAGTCATTTCAAATATAATCACTTCAAACTGACATGTTGAACAAAGAGATTAACTCCAAGTAATATTTGCTGAAGAAATGTAATTGCAAGTACTTTTTCACTTCACATAAAATCATGACCTCACATTTCGACTCATGTGAATGGTCAATTCACCAATAAATCATCCAAACTATTGATACAATACGGTCAAGTGAAATACACGTATCTAGACGTGTTATAAAAACAATCGTTACTGTTGTGTTGTGTATTGAAATCTTGTTTACAATATTGTGCTGCCACCTATATGGTGTTATGGTAACTATGTAGGCTACCCATAAGTCTCTCTCTTTCCGGTGTACCATGTAATAACGGCATGCAATAAATACGAGTTCCATTTACAAGAGCAGATTATTCTTTATATAAGAACTTTGAATACAATATCTGGCGACGAGGATGTGCAACAACACCCACTGCATCAACGGAAGACAAGGGGGAGATCGGATGTGAATCTGTGAGTAGAAAAATTCCTCGCAAAAATTTACTTGTCGAACGAGACCACACGTCCTTCTGCGACCGTCTCCACGGAAGATATGGCCTTACCGAACTTCCCAGCCTTCGAAGTGCAAGCCGACAACAACGTTGGACCCAGATGGGACAAATGGATTTCCCGATACGAGCGACTGATCACGGCGATGGACATTGCAAACCCCGTACGAAAGCAAGCCCTGCTCCTTCACTATGGTGGACCTGATCTAGACGAAATCCATGACACGCTGACCGTGGAGGCACCCGACGAAAATCACGATGTTTACCAACGATCGAAAGATGCTCTCACTGCCTACTTCACGCCAAAGAAAAACACAGCATTCGAAGTATATACATTCAGGCAGGCAGCACAACTCGAAGGTGAGAAAATTAACACTTTCGTTACGAGACTCAGAAAATTGGCGAAATCATGTGATTTTTCTGAGCCAGAAAAGGAATTCAATTCTTTCTCAAATTTTCAATGATATTACACTCACAGGTATACAAGATGAGGTTTGTATGCACGATACATGAACGGCCATTTTATATGTTACTCAACTTAAATTTCACTTAATAAACCTATTCACAATTCTTGAAACATTTGTCAGTTAATTCTTCTGAATTTCCTGGCCAAAGAAAACATCTCAGAGTCATTACAAGAATTTGATTTTTACATTGTTAGAGATATATTTCTGGCCTGCAACTGTTATATGTCATACATGTAGAGTAACCGGATGTTTCATTAGGGAAGAAAGTACTAATTTTATTTTTGCTTCTGTAATGACATAACTCATACGAATACAAACATTCTTTCAAGTTTGAAAATAATTCGAA